AGATAGAAACTATCTACAAATTTTTAGAGAGTTGAAATTTTCAACTATATGAAATTTCAAATTTTTAGAGAGATAAACTATCTCAAAATATTTTGAAAGAAGCTATATCAAATTTAAAGTTTTAGCCAATTTTCTCTCTGAAAATGTTGAGATAGTTTCTCTCTTTAAAAACTTTTAGGTAGTTTCTCTCCTAAATTTGATATAGTTTATTTCTCCAAAATTTTGATAAAAAATTTTATAATGGGAAAACTCTTTATATGTATTGTTGCATACCAAATATGTGTAAAGTAATTTTCACATTAAAGTATTTTGCATGAAAACGCTTCATACTTATCAAATGTGTCCTAAATAGTGTAAACCCAACTTACGCAAATAGATGACCTAAGCGAGGGATTTGCATGACCTGGGTATTATCTACATGGCAAGCTTTCTATGCTTCCCCTACAACATAGAAGTTATATCCATTCCCTTATCCAACCGTCCATTCTGAATGGAGGGCTAAGATTGCCGCAATCACAATGTCACGTCTCTACACTGTTTTATTTTTATTTATTTTTTATAAACTATTTTGACACCAAATTTTGGATTTTCATTCCTCTATTAAACTCGCACCAATTAAAAATATATATAAAAAAATATTTTCAATAAAATAAAATGACCAAAATAGCCTTGAAAGTTTCAAGGGGTATTTTGGTAATTAATTTTTATCGAAAAATTATTTTTAATATTTTTTATAGGTGCACCCCAATGAGAGGATGGCACATACTAAATTTCTATTCATACAATTTGTATTAAAAAAAATTCAAAATAAAATACTTTAAGATGTCGGATCTAAGATCAAACGGTGAGTGGCTCTCTTGATCAAAATTGGGTGGGTGGATGGTAGGGGTAGGATAGAACTTCTATGTTGTAAGGGAAGCATAGAAACATTTCCCTTATCTACAAGCATAGAAACATTTCCCTAGGATCCAAACGGGCCCTAAACAAAAAATTAGAGAAATTCTTTATAACTTTTAGTTTCATTCTTTTTCACTTCTAATGCTAGTTCTTTGCAGTTCGTCTTGAGAAATCCTGGAGAATTGACGGGAAAATGCTATTTTGCTAAACGCAATTTGGTTTGGGAGGTTTTGGAGGGTAATAGCAAATTGAAGAAGAAAATAGAAATGCAATGGACAGACATTACTGCTCTGAGAGCATCCTTTCTCAAAGACAAGACACCGACTTTCGAAATTGAGGTAATGCATTTTTTTTGCGTCGAGAATTTCGATAAAAAAATTAATTTATTTGGCTCAAACAAAATACCAATGTTTCAAGGCTCCGACATGTCTAGTTTAACTAAGCTGAGTACCTCGGCCTGATGCCGAGGCGAGTTGCGATTTCTAGGGGTCACTTGCCCCTATTTAAAAGTAATTAAAAGTCCTCATTTTTATTTTAAAACTGAAATTCTAAGTTTAGTTATAATAAGAGTAGAGACGATGAAGTTGTTAAGATTGACAGTCAAGAAATACTAAAAATGATGCACTTTAGATATATTGGGTCGATAATCCAAAAAAAAAAAGAGATTGATGATGATCTCGTGCATAGAATTAGAGCTGGGTGGGCAAAATAGAGATGTGTAAAATCGCCGCATTATCAATGAAGTTGAAGGAGAAGTTTAATAGGACGGTTATGAGGCCGGTTTTGCCTTATGGGTTGGAAGGTTGGGCGGTCAAAAAACAACATACCTATATGATGAGTGCAACTGAGATGAAGATGTTGAGATGGATGAGTGGCATGACAAAAAATGACAGAATTAAAAAATAAATGTATTTGGGAAAACTTATGTATGGCTTAAATGGGCAATAATTTAGAAAAAATACACTTAGGTGGGGTGGTCATGTACAATACAGACCTAATACAACACATGTTAGGAGATACGAGTTGATTTAAGTAGAAGGCTTAAAAGGGGTAAAAAGTAGATCCAAAAGACATGGTTGAAAAGTAGTGAAAACTGATATAATATAAGAACTTATAGCCTCACAAAGATTATGGATCTTGATAGAGCAGAATAGCAGATCAGAATTCATATAGCCAGCCCCAAATAGTTAGAAAAAAAGCTCTAATAATGACGACGATGATTCCAAGTTTAAAATTCAAAACAAATGAGAGTGTTTAGGTCATTTTTTCCACATACATTATGCGCTAATTCATCAAAATGTGTTTACTTATTTAGGACTCCAAACCCTAGAAAATATCGTTTTAGGTGTTTCTAACAAAGTACTTGAGGTATTTGAGTGCAATGATCTTATTAAAGTAACCATTTTATTGATAGATTGATTAATAGTGATTTTGTGGAGGAGTTTGACTACTTCAGTGATATTTTCCTAAAAAGAAAAACATAAAAACATGAAATAAATTCTTCTACAAACCCCATAAATATAGGGTCATGATGGGTTTCTACTATCATTACTATGACCAGATAGATGGTCAGATTGGTCGAAATGGTTAGACCTCCAACTAGTACCCACTTTTGACTAGTTAGAAATGGTAAATAAAACTATCGATTTTTGTTATACATTTCATATCTTTAAACTATTATTATATTTTATTTATATATTTGAATCCAATCCACCAAGTTTGACCAAATGGTCGGATCAATTTGGATAGAAATAAACCCCTCACTGGATCGGTGGCTGGTTCAGTTTTTATAACACTAGTTTTTATATTCATATTGCAGTTGTGTCAACCGCCCAAATTCTTTGAAGAAAATGAGCCGCAGGCTAGAAAGCATACTATATGGCACAGTTCCTCTGATTTCACAGAAGGCCAGGCATCGATTCACAGGTAATTCGTATAGATTCAAGTGGAAACAATTTTCTAATTTCTGTATGTGGTTTATATACAATGATGCCACTGGAAAACCTAATGATTCTTTTTACAATTTTTAGAAAACCCAATTGAATCCTCAAACCTTCTTTCCATAAATAATAAATCCAACTGGTGACTACCATTTCCACATAATCAAAAGTATCAGAAAGCATGAATGTGATAGAATTATTTGGAAAAAATGTATTCAGAACCTCCTTAAAGAAAGCATGAAGGTTTACTGAGAAATCTACAGAATTGAATAATGATTGGGATGCCATGGTTTTGTTAGATGACAATGATAAAAGAAAGAGAAAAAGCAAGAAAAAAGTTGAATGACTTCTTGATGTTAGTGACTCTCTTTAAATGAAAGTTGTTTTATTACTGTGTATATTAATGGTGATGGTGACCTTGTGTTATCTCAGGAGACATTCTCTTAGACTCTACTCTGACTTCCATAAGCACTATGAGAAGCTTTTAAAGTGTGCACAAAGACTCCATGATCTCAGCATGAAAGACTTTCCAAGTTCTGAGAATGTGTACTTTGAATCCTTCTTATATGAAGGATGCCGATATGGTGCCTCTAATGGCTTAGACAAGCAGCGAAATGTATTAGCAGTTGATCCTGAATGTGGGGCAAAAAATATGTATCATGCAGGTGGTCATGAAGAAATAAATCCAGTTTCACAAGTTCAGAATATAGAATCAACTTCACCCTTGTCAGGTACCATGCTTTATCTAAAAAGCAAATGTTTTGAAGCAATAACTCAAGTTGGGACTATCTACCTTCATGCTTTATCTAAAAACAAATGTTTTGAAGCAATAACTCAGGTTGGGACTATCTACCTTCAACTTCACCCTTGTCAGGTACCATGCTTTATCTAAAAAGCAAATGTTTTGAAGCAATAACTCAGGTTGGGACAATTTATCTTCATGCTTTATCTAAAAACAAATGTTTTAAAGCAATAACTCAGGTTGGGACTATCTACCTTCTTGAGCCTGAGTCAGTCAGTCGACTCAATTAGGTCGTATCGTCAGACTCAGCCAAGTTCTAAAAAATGACTCAAAATTATGGGAACCGACGAGATATTGCTTGTTCTAGATTTAACAGTACACGGGGTCAATATCTCAGTCGGCGTGGCGATTTTCTGTACACTGCCAAAAACCACGCTCACTCAATCACTCTACACACTCAAGAGCTCCCACGAGAGTGCCTTCTTATGCTACCATCTGTGCAAATTGATTGTGTTTGCGCATTTAAGCCCCTTAGCCCTGAGTGCTTTCTTATATTGGGAACAACATAATTTGTTAGGGATGCACTTATTAGTTCAAGGACAAAGGCATAGCTTAACTATTGTATAAATGTATGATATCACCCAAATTTGAGAAATGCCATTACCCTACCCACACATTCATGCTTCCCCTAACAAATGAGTGTCCCCTTGTCGCAATACTTTGCAGTTTGTAGTTTGCATAGAGCGCCCAACTAGGGTGGTGCTCCCGCTCCAGAACCTAGCTTTGGTGCTCCATAGCCTGGATCTCAACCGGCACTCGTTTTCTACTTTTTGGAAGCTCGCTCCTATTTTAGGATTTTCAATCCTGTTCACAACAGAGCTCACTCCTGATACTAAACGGAACGCGTTCTTTAAATTTTAGGATCTCGTTCCTCAATAAATTAGATCCCCGCTCCCAGAGTTTTAGGAGCGCGATCCCTACATTTCTGGTACTTCATCCCTATTTTCCCGAAACATCCTAAAAGAAACTTCTTAAATAAAATTAATTTTTAAAATAAAATAATTATATTTTAAGCCAAATTTCCATAAAAGTGGAGTTCTGCAATAGAAGCGTGGACTAATCATATTAATTTTTAAAATAAAATAATTATATTTTAAGCCAATAAAAGTAGAGTTCTGCGATGGAGCGTGGACTAATCATATTAATTTTTAAAATAAAATAATTATATTTTAAGCCAAATTTTCATAAAAGTGGAGTTCGGCGATGGGAACATGGACTAATCATACACAGAACGTGATCCTTCCTTGAATAGAGCTCGATCCTTTCCAAATAAGAACACGGTCATTCTTAGATGGGGGCACGATCCTGTTGTCGATGGGAGCAGGAACCTAATAAATATGGGAACACAATCCCATTTGATATGGAAAGCATTCCCGTTAAATGGGCATCTCGATCCCAATGTATTGGAACGCGCTCCCTGTTCATACAGGATCTCGATTTGCTATATTTACCCGAAGTCACTCCCTGAGCTCTGGAGCTTTGGACAGATATCGCTCCGATGCTCTCCCGGAACCAGAGCCGCTACCGCTCCCGATAACTATGGTTAGTACCAAGGGCATCAGGTGTCTGAAAGTGTTTGGTAAAAATAACTTTAGACCCTGTTCAGGATCTAGTATAACAAGCCATTTGATATTTTTGTCAAAAACTCATTCGTGAACCGTCATGCCTTTAACCAAATTTAGTTGTACTTCCTTTTCGATTGAATCTGTGAAAATATCCTAATTAACTCCTCATTTCTATGGACTTTCCTGCAGTCAAAAATATCTCGCTCATGGACACCATCAAGCTTGGCGCTACTGCTGGATTCCTATGCACACAGAAGCAACTTGCAACAGCCGGTTACGTGGATCCCAGTGTAAATTTTGGAAGAAACATGAGAACAAATGATCTTCAATTCATGCACAACGCAGGCTTGGGCGGCGGAGAGATGAGAAGTAATGATTCTCGAAACATGTTTGATGCAGCAAGCATGATTCATAAAACCCCAACCATCACAGCATCAATATTGCCTAGAGGCATCACAACCTTACACATTGCACCTCCAACGTTGGCTAACCCCAACTTCAAAGTCCCAACTAGTGGGGCCCACGGGTACGCTTATTCGTGCTCAGGCTTTGGCGACAGGGCCCAATCGAGCCATGCTAACAGTTACCACATAACCCATCCTGGCAGTGACAGGGTGCAATCGAGCCATGCTGACAATTACCACATAACCCATCTTGGCAGTGATAGGGTGCAATCGAGCCATGCTAGCAGTAACCACATAACACATCCTGGCAGTGGGGCCCATGCTGCCTATGGTGGAAGCAGGGCCCACTCAAGTGGTCCGAACTGTGCTGGTTGTGACCACAAGAACTATGATAATGGAGCCCTCACGGCCTACAATAGTTGGGCCCACCAAGCAGACTACCGTGGGGAGCTAAGTAACAATGAAAATCGTTTAGTACCAAGTTATCACAAAATGGAGGCAGGAAATAGGGGAGACTCGAACGGCCTGAATTCCATGCCGGGAATCAAGGGAAACTTCTATAACAACAATTCAGACCACACGATCTACATCAATGGCGCCCACCAAGCATACTATAGTGGGGCACCAAGTAACAATGAAGGGTCTCCAAGTAACAATGGAAATCATTTCATGCCAGAAGATCCTAGAGTGGAGGAAGGAAACAAGGGAGGCTTGTATCGCCAGAATCCCATGATAAGAAGACATGGAGACCGAAGTAGCCAGAATTCCATGATAGGAAGCAATGGAGACCTCTGTAGCCAGAATCATGTGATACCATTACTTGAAAGTGGGTCTGTGGATTGCCAGTTCGTCGAAGGAGGTTCATTTGGATTGCCTCATAGTGACTCACTCGACGACATCTTGTCATTTGGATTGCCTCATATTGACTCACTCGACAACATCTTGTCTATTTTTGATCAGGGTGACGAATTCGTTTTGCAAGACACAACCCACCATGGAACCAGTCTGGAAGATTTCTGGATCAGTCAAGAAGATTTCTAGATTATGTGAATTGAGCACAGTTGTAATTACCATTGGTCTTATTGTTCAGTGGTGAATCAAGTAGCCCTGAATAAATAAAAAATTTAAGTCTTCATCATAGAAATTTGCTGGGTTTTGTAGTTTCCGATACACAGACATTGCCTATACAAAGCTATGAATATATAGTTTCAATATCAATAATTCAATGTTCTCAACATTAGCCTTGGCAATTCTTGTGGTTTTGATGGTATAACTTTCAAGTAATGGGGCTGATGGTATCTAACATAGAAGAGAAAGCCAAAAAATAAATAAAAATAAAAAGAGATTTAACAAAAAGGAAAGGTTCTATGCTTCCCCTACACCATAGAAGTTCTATCCTCCCCCTACCATCCAACTGTCCAATTTTGATCAAGAGAGCCACTGACCATTTGATCTTAGATCCGAGGTCTCAAAGTATTTTATTTTTAGTTTTTTTTATACAAATTGTATGAATATGAAATTTGGTACGTGCCATGTTCTCATTGGGGCGCACCTATAAAAAATATTAAAATATAATGACCAAAATACTCTTTGAAAATTTTAGGGTCATTTTGGTCATTTATTTTATTGAAAATATTTTTTTTTTATATTTTTCGATAGTGGGAGTTGAATAGAGGAATGAACGTCTAAAATTTGGTGGCCAAATAGTTTATAGAAAAAAAAAATAAAAATAAAATAGTATAGAGACATGACATTATGATTGGAACAATCTTAATCCTCCATTCAAAATGGAGGGTTGGATAAGGGGGAGGATAGAACTTCCATGCCGTAGGGGAAGCATAGAAAGCTCGCCCGATAAAAAAAAGGTTTCTTGCCCTTAACAAAAATGTGTTTAATTGATTGTAACTATAGCTGTTACCATTATCTAGTTGCATTGATTTAGCAACTTACTCAATAATGTGGAGAGAGAGAGACAAGTTGAGAGAGTGGGGGAGAGAAACCATGTCGAGAGAGAGATCACGTAGAGAGAGAAGCCACGGTTTTTAAAAAAGAGTGGAAAGGTTATGGTTTAAATGTGAAAAGAGAGAGTTAGTAAAAAGAAGAGTTTGCATGCATATCTAATGAAGGATTATTTTTCAAAAATTTACATATATATAATATAAAGTAATGATCCTAAGAGACCCTCTCATACCCATGTGTGTAGGACCCCAAAGGATCATCATTAAATATAGCACTGATATCTAGAAAAGTTATCACATGAGTGTAGGACTTGGCTTTTCTAGAAATCTGTGTTATATTTAATGGTGATCCTTTGAGGTCCTACACACATAGGTGTTGGAGGGTCTCATAAGATCATTACTCATATATATATATCTATCACAATTTATTAATGTGATCATTTTTAAACAATTTACATGCATATCTAATGTGGTTTTAAACGTGGAGAGAGACCAAGTTGAAGAGAGAGACCATGTTGAGAGAGAGAGAAAAGCTAGGGTTACCAAAAAATAAAACAAAGATTAAGTTAGATTTACATCCATACCTAATGAGAGAGGCCATAAAAAGAGAAGCTTGCATGCATATCTAATGAAGGTTCATCTCTAAAAAATTTGCATCCGTACCTAATAGCGTTTTAAATATGGAGAGAGAAAGCATATCATGCGGAAGAGAACATAAAAAGAGGATTAGCATGTATGTCTAATAAATAAATAAATTAGAACATTTGTCAAT